GGTCCTTCACGGACCGAAAGCCATATGAATCATCTATTTGGTCACCGGCTCCCAACGGGTTGCGACGCCCTTACGTCGCCCTGCTGCCTTGTAGGTTAGGTCTTTGATCAAAGGCTCGGGGTAGCGCCCCCTAAGACAACCCTCTACTTAGGCCTGGGCAACCGGGTAGTATCACACTGATAAATCATGGACCACACTGGTTACTACTGCATCTGCTATGCCTATCTTCTATGCTAACTCAACTGCTCAACCTCCACTCACAGAGAACCCCACTTCCCCACCCCCCACTACTCCACCTCCGTCTTATCTCTTCTGTGGTCACCGCCACAAACGACCCACGTCTCGCAACTGATGGAAGCAACAGCCAAACTCCCGGTTTTCAATGCCCTGCGATCGCAAGCGCCTCTCACTCCACCAAAGCTCCAGCTCGTCTTCGACTTTGTTCTCCATTCATCCTCGCAGCGTTTAATGTTCGAACTTTGATGCAGATAGGACGATAAACATGTCTGGCTCGTACCCTTGAAACGCTTTCGGTAGACATCTGTCGCCTTACAGAGACCAGATTACAAGACTCTAGCGCCGTCATCAAAATGGCCTCTCCGGTAAACCCTGACGCCAAATACCACTTGCGGCTTTCCGGAGACCCAGAAGCTGCCACCACTGGCCAAGCTGGTATTGGGGTTGCACTGAGTGCCAGGGCTACATCAGCTCTGTTTGACTGGATCCCAGTCAACAGTCGGCTATGTGCAGTCAGACTACGATGTTCATGTAACGTAAGCAGGCGTCGAGACGTTAAGCGTGCCTTGTTTGTCTTCTCCGCCTACGCCCCTACAGACTGCAGCCCGGATGCACTTAAAGACAGCTTTTACCAGCAGCTACCTGAACTTCTGCGTTCCTCCAAAAGGACTGATATAGTCATTCTTGCCGGGGACTTTAACGCACGGGTTTTACGCCTTCTACCAAGCGAGCACCACATTGGGGGTAGTTTTGGTCTCGGTTGCAGTCGATCCGACAATGGAGGTAGACTGCTTGTTCTTTGCTCTGATCATCGCTTGTATCTTTCGAGCACTAGTTTTCGGCACTCGAGGAGACACACTGCTGCCTGTTGCCTGTAAAAAGGCATTGTTTAGAGCGGACTATGGTCCAGCCACCGCCTTGTGTATGCTTGATTCCCTAAATACAGCGTGCTTTGTTTGCCTGTACAGAAGTGCCGGCTGGCTCCGTTGATGAAACTTGTCTCCCATCCACATGGCTCCCGTTGTTACTCCTTCGGATTTACACTGAATACTGCGTTTGTTGATGGAGCTGTGTTTGGTGCGACACAAGCCATCCTTGGTCTTTCTATTGGCGCAGACGTCCTGTGGCTGTCCTTTGAAGGCCACAGTGAAAGGAATATCCGGAACCGAATACCTCCAACCATGGGTGTATGTGTAAGTGAATATGGTGGGTGAATTGCTAATGTGACTGTGTATTCGTGATGTTGTTGGTTGTGTTCGCCATCGTACGAAACGATCAAAGAAATCCCTCGAATTGGATGACATACTTGAAGTGGGCAAAATCCCCTGGGAAGGGAAGAGGCAGTTACTTTTTTAGTGATCAGCCACATCCACCTCGTCGCAGTGTTTTTAAGCGGACCATTGTGGCTTTTTATAGGGAGAACGTTTGCTAAGCGAAAATCCGCTACTTTCTGGAATACTGCCATCGAACTATTCGCTGGAACGTGACTAACCCGGAACCACCCAGCTGGTACCATGAGGAGGTTGTTCAGATCATGAATTTCCCCTCGGGTCATCGACCCGATCGCCTCATATGTAAAATGTACCTATATTTGTATCAACCTTTTCTATTTTGTAAGGCTCAGGAGTGGATTGTAGGAGGGAGGGATAATAGGTTGCTCAAACACAAAATTTGGTTTTGTGGGTAATGATATGGGGTGGGTATGATGATTACAAGTAAATAGCTACTCATATGTTATTTATACCAGCTTCCGTCAATATTTTTAGAGTTTGTTGCCAGTCAAAGATCTTCAACACATTTGCTATAGTGAGGAACGTCTATAGAGAATTTCGAAATTTGACATGGTTTGCACTCATGCATATTTGTAGGGGTAGTGCGTTTCACAGATCGGTTTGTCTCACTAAGAAGAAATTCGGTCGAGTTTTAAGACTTGCAAGCTGTGTGTACAGCAAGTCGCCGCCATTTCGTGTGGAGTAGACTGTGTTCTTCCGTGGTTCAAGTGTGGTGCTGTCTGCGTAAATTTGTAGGTTAATAAGGTAGAAGAAAATGTGGTTGTTCTTTAAGCCTGTCAGCCAAAGTGGATCCATTGAGAGTTGTCGGCAGTGCATAATAACAGGTTTGAGCAGCGCCGCATGACCAGCTTGGTAAATGATCGTTTGACGTTTTATTAACCCTGTTTATAGTCGGCCGGTGGCCTAATAGTCTACATGCCTGGTTTGCAACCATATAAGGTCACCGGTTCCAATCCGCGTAGGGGTAGGCGTCCTCACGGTACACTCAGCCCGCGTGGCAACGAAGCGCCGTTACAGCGTACAGCTGGCGGTTCATTTTTGCTTTTTTAATCCTGTTCAAAAAGTACACCTTCAACTATGAAGATGTACTGCACCTGCAACTTATCTGAAAATATGCCTAATATGAAAATCGAAACAACAACGCAACTACTATCTGGTTATAGGTAGACTAAACCTTTCCAGCGTTGCTGCAATCCGAGTATAGTTCCGTATCCAAATGTAAGATCACACACTTTCTACACTGAGATCTCACCGATACCCTTTCACACCTCTCAGCACCTGAGTGCGTGAAGATCACTGTGTAGTACACATAGTGGAACGACTAGGTTCAGAGGAGCTCTCTAGCTGATGGCACCGGATTGCTCGCAAATATCTTTAACCGATCCAGTTACATATCCCTCTAACATGTAACCAACACAGTTGTACGACGAGAAGTGCTCAAACAATGGCGAAAATGCACATAGTAACGAAATTTGGTGATGGCAAATGCGATGCTCCCATTCCCGCGTCAGTCGTAACTTGACAACTGTTTCCACACACGTATACACTCGCATGTGCCTCATGCTGAGGCTGAGTGCCTGATGCAGAGGATGATGTTGCGTTCATGATGCTCTTTCACCGCAGTTGAGCTAAATCAAATTTCACTTAAAGTAGGTCCTTTTAATCTGTATAGTGTTCATTCCACTTTATTTGGTTTGTTTAATGATGTTATTCTGCTGCATATTTAGTGTCAATTTTGCGTATTTGATTTCCATTAAACTCTGTTGGTAGTTTGATATCCCCGGTGTGACTGCGCTTGATGTGAATGTTGACAAGGAGCCTACCTCGATTATTGGCTTCAGGAGACTGTGAATCGTTACTGGAGGTGACGGGATGTGCGGTCCTCGTGACGGTACTAGGCTCAAAGAGTGGTTCCATGCTCTCAGTGGGGAACGCACTACGGTCCAGCCACCGCCTTGTGTGCACTTGATTCCAAATACAATGTGCTTATGTTTACCTGTGAAGGAGTCTGGGCCGTCTCTGTTGATTAAACGTGGCTCCTATCCGCAATCCTCCCGGTCTTATATCTTCGTGTTTACACTGAATATGGGCTGTATGGGTGAAAACCTAGGTGGTGCAGGTGCAGGCGTCCTGTGGCTGTCCTATGGAGGCCACAGCGACAGGCAAATCCGGAACCGGACGCCGCTAACCCTACACTCACATACGCGCGCACACACTATCTGGCTAGTTGTGACGACCTCGATATGGAAGCAAAGGTTGGTAGCTCAGGTTGTACAGTTGGTGGTCTCAGTGTTCACTGAGCTCGGCAGGTTGACTGCCGAGCTCAGTGAACACTGAGACCACCAACTGTGACGACTTCATCGAAACACAGCAGGTAAGTGTTCTCATGCCTCGGCACGATTTTTGGCCATGTTGGGTCAAAAAGGTGACACGTGGCCATATATGTTTTCCTATGAAGTGTGTGAGTGGTTTTCGTGAACTCGGGGCATAAAGACCGACCCATTTTTGTGTGTACCATGATTATGTAGTGGACTGCTTTGTCTCACCTATCTGTGTAGCAGTCACTGTAGGTACAAGACGAACCGGCACTGATTGGTTGTTATTCTATCGATGGGGAAATAGGAAGTCCCCATGTCCGGTCCATAAAAATAGTTCCAGCAACATACTTTCTATTAAAAGTGTACATTACACGGTTCGTCGCCCTCGTGGTGACGTTGCATGGTCTATGCAAACCTTCCACTCACACTTGTGTAGTCAAGTTGTAGCCTATTGATGGGCAATATCTTCCGCACAATACCACTTTACCAACGCTGGTCCTGGTTCTAGTCTAACCTGTTGTTGTGAGACTCACTATCCCCCATGTACGGGGATAATGAAGAAATAAGTTCAGGAACAGAGCTGTTTCGGGCACGCTTTATTGCACTGTTCCAGTTTTGCCGAGCGACTCAGCACAAAGATGGTTTTGGGATTTGTAGAACTGTTCTAATTGCTCGTCTTTGCTAAACCGAGTTAATAACTACATGTTTTATTGCCGGCACTGCGAGGCACGCCTGCGAAGGCATGATCATGATAACTGTTAGGACAGCAGTGTGCAGCCGTTCATTATGTGAACCATGTTTGTTGTAGCCATTTTACTGTTTAGTATTCCATTGTTAACTTTCTCACTTCACTGAATTGTACCCATGCATGTGTCCACTGCACTCCCGACACGGTTGGTGCAGTTTTGGCGACACAATAATAACACAGGCAGGTATGGTCGGTGACTGTATAAAAATATAGCAAGTTAACCGGTAACATACTGAATTTTTGTGTCTATATATATGTAGGTCTATAAGTTAGTGTACATGGTGAGGGAACTTGTGAAGTGTGACTGAATTCGTGAGTTCGTTTGCCGTGTTCGCTGACATTTACTTAACACGTTCCCTATCCATTGACCCATTGTGGAAGATAATTAACTTCCTTTTACTTTAGAGTTCCACACGTCAACTCGAATTGGATGGAAGATGCTGAGCCTATTCCTGTCAGCTACCTCGACGCTCTTGGCCCTTACCGAAGAGATGTGGAGGCGTGTCTTAGGGGCCTGAATGAAGAGACTTTTTGGTTCATCGATCGATCGGGGTTGGTACCCACCAGTCTGCTCAAACGTAAGTCGGATGACATTCTCTTGACTTCTGGACGTACCAGGCCAAGCACAACCGTGGAACTGCAGCTGGACGCTCGCTTTTGGCACAACGACACATTGGATACAGACGGCGTCGATGCAAACCGTCTTTCCATCGAATTCACACCTTCGTGGTTAAAATCGAAGTGGGCCGAATTGGAGGTGATTGGGTGGACGCTCAACGCTAATTACGCTTTCAACCCGATTTTTGATCTTGTGGTTAGCAGTCATAGTAATCGGTATTGTGTTGTGTGCGGACTAGTAAGACTTATACTTCAATAGCTCCCGCCCAGTGGACAAGCGTGCGTCACGTGTTTACGTGGTCGTACTCTTCTCAGTACTTTCACTGCTTTGTTACAGAACCTATCCCAGTCACTCAACTAATAGCCCCCTCATTCTTCGGAAAAACACCAGTGATACTGTTACTGTCCATATTTTTTTCAGTTTTACTAGGAAGCCGCTGTCTAGCTTATTCCATAGTTTAAGAAGCGAATTTCTTCCACCATTTGTGGTAAGCTCTGGTGGCGTTGCTGTATGTGATGTTGTCACTGGTTGGGCCACATGTGTACCTTATAAACATCCTGGCATCGGACAGGCGATTATTCATGCTGAAACAACCCGGATTTACGGACGTATATGTATGTGTAAAAAATAACGATGTACGCAGAGATGTACTCATGAGCAAGGGATTTTTGATGTAATTAATTGAGATTTCATCGCGGCAGCTTCCAAACCAGATAGTCCTTCACATACTCAGCAAAGCACTTGACTGCAGTTTCAACCTTTTGGGCCTCGTCGTCTTTCGTGGCTAACCCCGTCCTCTGCAACGTCTGTAACTTGCATGACAGTGGAAGATAGGACACTCTATATCTCAGCTTGTAAATCATGACGATCGGACGTTGTCCCCCGTAGCCTAATGGCATAAGCCGCTGACTGGTGGGGCAAGCTTCTGGTGGTCATCAGTTCGAATCCTGATGGGTACGCATTACCGATGATGCCCAACAGGTTAAAACTGCAGTTGAGTGCTTTTCTGGCACGTGATGGACTATTTGATTTGAATGGTGCTGTGTCGAACTGTCAATTAAGTAGGCAGAGATGCTTCCTCAATACCTTCCATGTGGTCAAAACTCCGTTACCACTCCTTTCGATTTCGCATACTGCTCCGTCTGACGTGATCGATGTTGTATTAATGATGTGATTGTGTGGTCGGCGCGTTATCCTTTTTGAAAATATCTGTTAGTGAGCACGAGCAACTTGACCTTGTAGTTTGTGCGCAAAACCCCGAATAAGTTTTGCTTTTACACCTTGGTCTAGTTGAGAGATACAGAAGGAAGCGGATCAAATGCTGGGATAGTTTTGAATAATCTATTCATGTTGCGATGTATCTACAGGCTATCCGCTCCTCTCGTTGTTAGCTAAATGCGCTTTCTTTTCATATCAACTGCTGCAACCAGGTGTTCGTTCAAGAGAAAGTATTGTGCACCTAACGTTAACGTAATCGTGAAGGAAGTGACCGTCTATAACTAGGCAAAGATCAACTTGTGCACATCTTTTAGTGGTTTTAACCACTACGAATTTGTTGTACTGGTGCAAGGGTTGTGTTTCTAATCTGTTCTTTTTTGTGTCGATCCTGCGTCTCTCGGTTCCGTCTGGGTTGTAGGATGAAATCTCACTATTTTTCAGTACCAAGCTTGGTCTGCTTTTGGAAGACAAAACCATCAGTACGTGTAATACAGGTAGCTCGAATTGATTGTTGGCAGTCTTACTGATTCTGAGTTGGACATTTGGCTTTCAGATGCCATAATGCCAGTCGAATTGGTATCTTTAGTGTTTACTCCTGAACAGTCGGTTGATACTTACTGAGCTACTGCCCCCCATATTCACCTGAGGTTCAGTAGTCGCTAGCATGCGTCTCATTATTACACAATAAATATGGCACATCATTTGATGTTGAAACGTTTGCGACTCAGTTACTTCGTTCGGTAAACAAGCCGAGGTCACAGCGTCACAGTAGATTCCAAAGTAGCATTTTATCGCTGCAACATACGCATTAAAATGCGTGTTATGAACGGCCCCGCTCCTATCGTTATTCTCTTTCGGCACATAAATTTGGTAACTAGTTAATTCTAACGCATAACAGTTCCGTTTGCAGACGGGACTCAATAACACGACTTTTTCTCCCAACTATGCCTGAGGGATGGTTAAGAGTTTCCGTTTCCTGAATTGCCTCTCATGGTGGAAGTTAACGGCTGCCAGATGACCCGTCCACAAACGGACCATCGACGGCTTGCGACACCGAACCCACACACTTTATTGTCAGTTTTAGCACGAAAGTAGCACATGGGTGGGCATCTCTATCATTTTTGAGGTCTCCCACATTCATACAACACATCTGGATAAGCATTTCCTCTTGATAATCCGAGGAGGTAATGTCAAAATCCAGGAAACTCAAATGCAACTTAAGCTTTTAGGGCGTTCGCATTTTGTGTGGGCATTTGAGTCATGCGAAGTCGGTGCTCGTTATCCTCTCACTTCCTCTGTCCTACATGTCGATACTCAATGAGTACCAGATTACACTTGGCCTGTTTCCCTGCCAATGATGGAACTAACATTCTGGCGTGCGAATGTCGCCCCTACTGTGTTCGGTATCAACACCAGACATGCTTGGTGATCGCACGGACATAGTCAATGTGGAAGCACGGAATCATCACGCCTATCTACGAAAGTGGTAGCCGTGCTGAACCAGCAAACTATCGCCCGATAACACTACTTCCTGTGATCTCCAAGGTTATGGAGTCCATTGTAGCTGAGGCTTTAATGGGGTACCTGGAGAACAACCAAATTCTCGTTCCGGAACAGCATGGATTTCGGCAAAATCACTCCTGTACAACTAATCTCTTGATTGCTCGTGCAAACTGGACAGAATCCGTGGACGCTGGTGTAGGACTCGACGCGGCCTACTTGGATTTCTCAAAGGCATTCGACCGCATAGACCATCGCATTCTCCTCCACAAACTCCAGAAATATGGAATTGGTGATCCTGTTCTGGCCTGGATAGGAGACTTTCTTATGCAACGTCACCTGAATGTGAGGGTTAGAAGGAACCTATCAGAATCCATCGAAGTTCAATGCGGCGTACCTCAGGGCTCGATACTTGGACCCCGCCTGTTCCTGGTCTTCATAAATGATCTCGCGAGTGTGCTATCTTCTAACTGTTTGCTATTTGCTGATGACCTAAAGGTATGACGCACTATAGCTGCAGCGGAGGATCGCACATTCTTACAGGAGGACCTTGACAAAGCGTACACATGGTCCATCGAGAACATGCTGCATTTCAATGTCACCAAGTGCAAAGTTCTCAGTATACAGCACAAGAGTATGCACAACTACCGCCTAGGACCACAAATTCTACAACGGGCTTCTCACGAGTGCGATCTCGGTGTGATAGTTCAAGATGACCTCGGTTATTCGAGGCAGACTGAAAAAGCAGCTAAGAAAGCGAACCAGTACCTCGGCCTTCTTCGCAGAACCTTCGGGAAGTTTGACCCTTCTATCTTTCCAAAAATGCCTAGTGCGTACGTGAGGCCGCACGCGGAATACGCTATCCAAGCGTGGCAACTCTGGCTCAAGCACCATCTCACCGCGCTCGATACTGCACAACGTAGGGCAACGAAGAGCGTCAAAGGTTTGACCGGCCTCCCCTACCCACTCAGACTGAAGACCCTCAAAATATACAGTGGAAGTTATCGGCGTCTAAGGGGCGATCTCATAATGGTGTACCTAATCCTGAGAGACCCAAACCACCCATGCCGTTCCCTTCTAATACTCAGTCAGAACACCTCACTAAGACGTCACCAGTTTATGTTAGTCACGCATTACAGCCGCCTGGAATGTCGGCGAAACTATTTCTCCCTTCGAGTGGCACAGCCTTGGAACGCCCTCTCGGAACATGTAATCAATGCTCCCACCCTCTCCCTTAAAAAACGCCTTGACGTAACTCTAGCACATTTACACTACGTGCTATAGCTCATGACCACCAGATGCTGGTACTAATGCACAACAGACAGTGGATAGTGCCATAACCCTACTCGAGAATGAGTCACACCAAACGCCTTGCACGAAATTTGATAAACGCTACTAATATAGAAACTGGATTTCTGTATCCTGTCGACCCAAGATAGTTGCACACGAGTAAGCGTTGTCCTTGCTTTTTTTCTCGCCTGTGATGTGAACAATAACCACTCCCCTGTTGCTTTGTGTGCGCACATTCTCATTTCAAACTCCCTTTATACGACAGTGCAGTTACATCTGTAAGCGCCCGAACTGACGACTCCATTATGCCTTCGCTATCTTTTTTGTCACGCTATACGCCCTACGGGACATGTCAAGCACCTGCTTTTTTACCCGTTGTAACCATTGTTCATTGTTCAGTGTGCACCATTGAACGGGTAGTCGTCTCATTAGCACGCACCTGATGCGGTCAAATCTACACGTCACCCATAAATCCCCATCCCGTACACTATTCCACATGCTTGGCTGTCCAGCTATATTTCAACCGTATAAGTTGGTCATTAGGGGTTGACTTAGTTGGATAGCCGTTGCACTTCCGGAAGCGCACCGGACATATGTTTCTTACTTTCGAAAATCGCCAGTATAGCACATCCCACCTGTCTCTTTTGAGACCGGGTACCATTACTCTACTCTTGCGAGCCATAGGTTAAGATCATTAGTCCACCGGAAATGCAGCGACTGCCAAGACATAACACGGCCATCCAGTAGTTTTCCGGACGTGTAGTTCCTAACTGACTGAAACTAGTTGTGGTGGGTTCAGTATGTCGCCTAAATCCCCCTCTCACTCGATTATACACCGGCGGTATTAAGTACACACCTTTTAGCATCGAACTAGTCACAGCCTGTAAATAAAATCACAGTTTGCGACTGGACACCTCCAACTTCCGATGAACAGATGCAACTTTTAAGGGAACTATATCATCTCCTCCAATATCACGCATGTTTCGCACGTCTAATGGCACATCACCGATGGGCGGTTTGCGCGCAAACAAAGCTCATCCGTAATCTTTCTGTCTCTGTTTACAGGCACTGATCGAACTGACATTCGATCACGAAAAACAGGCGGATGCATTGTGTCGGAAATCTGCGCACTTGGTTCGCTTACTTCGTGATTCCGAAGCAAACCGATTCAACTCATCCTATACGAAAGTTATCGCAAGGTTGGAATCCAGTTGTAGCCGAATGTCCGAAACCCTGTCCCTGGCGCAGGCTGCACTAAGACGCCGTAAATTATGTTTGACTCGATGGCAGTCGGACTTGGTGGAGCTGGACACACTTTTGGCTGAGATTAAAACTCTGATGGGCTCCTACGAGATGACCGGCTGTGTCATTCAGGGTGACACCACTAGTGAGTGGCTTGCAGATTTGCGACGCAGACTAAGCGAGCCTTCCAGCGAGGACAACAGGCATTTGTCTCGGGTAAGTGATATCAAAACGCCGCCGAAATAGTCCAGTAAACACTGTGTTTCGTTTGTGTTCGGTTATAAACGGATCACTTTTCGGGGTGCTTCCTATATGCCTGGCTTTTCTTAATCCGTCCTGTTTTCGAGACACGGCTTATGTAGTGGAATTTGCCTTAAACTCACAAAGTACCATGAACATCATATCATTACGAGGCGAGTTTAGATTGCAGTCGTTCGTCGTATGCCTGTGTTCTACTATGCTGGAAACCGATTAAGTGCCTTCTTTGTAGCAAATGGATAACCTAGGGTCCAGTGTCATGCTACGAGAAGGGGGTAGGGAGGGAAGCATAAATAGGTCGCGGAAGACTAAGATTAAGGATTCCTGGAAGCGGTAAGTAAATTGTTTGTTTATCTCAGAAGAGAAATCAGCTAGGGTCCCGGTGGATTGGCCTACATTTGGATGGTTACCGTTTTGCCGCCTACCATTGACCAGTTTCACCACAACATATACTCGTGTGCATAATAGACACTGCATACTGCTCTTCCCAGATATTCTTTTCGTCAAGCAGCACACGACACGCCAAATGGTATCATGCACATTCTTTTGCAGTTTATAATTTTGCTAATGCATAATCCCGCATTAGTTCAGCTGTGGTTTCCATTGGGACTAAGTTTTGGTGCTCAATTGGGACTCAGATCTCCTCTTCATTAAGACGAGTTTCATACATCAGTCATATTTACCGCTGAAATCTTTTCCGTTTTCCCAGTCGTCTTTTCATTTGGCATCCATTACTTATGCATTCCAGTTTTTTTCTTCCATACCCACGGCGTCAATGCTGCCTTGAACACTTGACATACCCCGAATTTCAACATCGGACCACATTTACTTCAGATTCAATGGAAATCAACGGGGCCCTTTTAGACTGGCATATTCCCCATAATCGACCTGGCGACACGCCGTAGCCAAACTGTACTAGCAACCGTACACTCCCGATATCCACAAATCGTTTTCATAATCGATTGCCCTATTCTACCGATACAAAACTGAAATCACTGTAATATTGTTTGGTTACCGTAATGCCAGTCACCTACACGAATTGTTTAAGTAGACCTCATTCGCAGAACTGTTTTGAACAAAGAATCTTTACCCTTGACTCTCCTTTCTACTGACTTCGTGAAATCCCACTTCTGAAAGTCTCAGAATTAGGAGGCTATTTGTATATCTGATGCGCCGTCCGCTATTGACGATGACCCCATGATCCGTGACTGTGGTCCGTCAGCCAGGTGGTTTAATGTACTTTGATAACTACTTTATTATTGGTATGTTCAAAACCGGCATTTTGGAAAACATTCGGGTTTGTTGAGCTTACGGTTGTTGCATATGAGTTCCGAAGCAAGAGTCAGCGGACGATGATAGTTACAAAAGCAATGTGTCGCTACTGCTGCGGATGCTCCTAGATATCATCTGGTGTGTCCTGGTAATGGAGAGTTCGGATTTAGATTGGGAAAAACCGCTAGTCCCAATAAACCGACACATCTGTTTGTTTTGTGCATTGAGAGACCTTGCTATTTAGGCTACTGCATTGGTTAGAGCTGAAGTTGGTGTTTCGACCTGCACTCTTATTCAAATAGCCCCGCGCTAATTGCAGACTATATATAGCATTTCGTAGGCATGGCCCAAGGAAACTAGACTTATTCTTTCTGGTAGCGTGTTTTGTCGTTTACCAATGACGGCTGACTGTTCTTAAATAATCCAACTGCAGGATGTTGAACAGATGGTCGGTCCTCGACTCGCTTTTCACTGGCGATTTCTTATCAGTATAAGTGGAACTTTATGAACCCCTATCCTCTGAGATGCAAGCATTGATTGTCAACTCCGTTATACCACATACTACCTGGATACCACTACACCTATCCTAGTTCATCCATGAGACTGCATGGATCGAAATCTAGCTCGAAGCTAAGCCCCACTATGTCATCAACTGAAGGTTTTCCCGAGTTATCTGCGTCGACATACCTCAGACAAGAATAGCTCTACTCATCCGGGACGACATTGGGATCCAGCTGCGCCGCCGATGACCCAGGTGTTCATTTTTTTTTATCTCCGTAGAGCTCAGAATTATGTTTACTCTTACTTGTCTTTCGTCAGTTCTCTTATCTAACACTACTTTTGCTAGACCAAAACAAAGTTGCCCCAGGATTAACAAACTGGATTATGCTATGCTGGTAGCTTTTTCATTTGTTAATCCGAAATTCTTAGTTGCATTTATATCATGCTGCACCACTGAATATCTGTGTGTTACGGCTGAATATCTACCTGTTCTGGGTGCATAAAGCACTTTCTTGACTTGTTTTTGACGTCACAGCTGTCTGTGCTACCCATCGCTTGCCTTGCAGTGTTCGGATTATTTTCCGCGCGAGCAATATGATCCCATAACTACAAACGCATCCACCAATGTGTCCAGGGAAGATTGTAATCGTGAAAACATTGACTCCCATGTTGCCACCATATCAGCGTGCCTCTCACCGGTTGCGTGTCAATTTCCTAACGTGCGCTGAGATTCAGGATGAAGTACACCTCTACAACTTTTTCAATTTTATTTGTGTTTGGTCGATTTAGGGGACGAGTGTCGGATATATACTAGGCAATCGCTTAAGGCGATAGATCATAACACACAAACCTCAAGGATACTATTCTCCCAACTATCCATTTCATTGCTTTCAGGCCGTTTTAATAACTCTAGTTAGTTCGCTCGGAATTTCAGATCAGCCAAATCTCTTCGGGCAACGGTTCGGCTTTAGGCTCCAAGTGCCTAATCTGTTTATGCAAGTAATTGGGTTTCGTTTTTCAATGCCAGGATTTAACTTTTGTTTTCTCCTCTTTATTGAACACCTACATATGCAGAAATATTGGATGTCCGAATTGAACCCACAATACAACGGACTTGGTAAATATCTGGCTAAATTGGAAGCCAGTTGGGCTCGAGTGCAAGAAACATTGTCTTCTCCCGATCAGTCTATGATGATGGTGCGCGTGCCGGACCATATCGCATCGCAAATCGACTCCCTCCTGAACGAGTGGGAATGCCTGTGTACCACATTAGAATTGCCTTACGCAAAAGGGCGCAAGTGCCCCAACTCCCATAAGGTAAGTGGAAGCCAAGATATCATTTAGCATAATAATTACGGTTACTTTATCCAGGTTTGTTCCAGCTAGATTCCATCAGTCGGCTACTTTACATCCGGACAGACCTTCTGTTCTACCGCCAACTATTCGCCTACATCACAGATTTTCCTCACAACCCACCGGATTCAAACCCCTGAGTTTACTCTTACCAATCAATAAGTTAATCCACTGAAGGATCAATGACAATGGTGGGTACATTTCGGTTTGCCATAGAGCGCGGCTCACCCTCCACTGTCATGCAAGTCATCTCTGTTCAGCGAAAAAGGTTGATCCATATAGCCACAGCCTACCTTTCACACGTTAGGGTTTCTGCGTGCACATCATTTGATAGCTAACGATCAGTCAACGGCCGTCACCCATTGCTCAGTAGCATAAAGTGATACGTGAGAGTGCAGTTATGGGTTAAATCCGGGCTATGTGAAGTCTGTCCGACTTGCTCAGCAGCTAGGAATCTCTTTCGAATATGTCAAGATTTTCCGCAACCGCTTTCTCATTATGCTTACTGTGACGCTTCTATAAAAAAAACAGTCTTGGTGAAACGCCTCGGAACAACAGTATAACCTTATTTTCCCCAGTCACGATGATGCCTAAAACTTAATAGGCTTACAGACCAGCCCACAACTGTCACCCTGCACTTGTCACTTTCTTCCATTTCTACTCCGTAGCAAACAGCAGATAATCAGGTTTCTGCCACCGTTATATGCGCTCCAGTCCAGTGGTCTAACGTCTCTCCGGTTCTGGCCATCGCCCAGTCCTCCTCGAGTCAAGGTGGCCCTGTTGGTCATGTGCTCTCAGAGGTGGCACAGACAATGTCACCAACAATGACACGCATGCGACAAGAGGTGGATCAACTTTCCCGTTGGCTCAGTGCAGTAACGAACTTTTCTCTACAAAGCAGAGCGAAGCTGGGCGATCGCTTTGATCAAGAAACTGTCAATCAGCAGTTGCTGGTGAGATGCCCATAACATGTTCGTTAACGATCATCTTCGTGTTTGTTAGATAGCTCTAACGGTGTGTTCGAATTCGTATGTGCCTTTTCCTAGACAGCCTCGGTCTGGACGTGACGATGGACGCAGGGGTACCAACTCCACTTCTTGGTAATAGGCGAACGTCAACGCCCTTTTCTCCTTGAGGATACTATTCTCGATTTATCATTTCCGAATAACTTGAACAGCTGACATGGTAACATTACCCGTTCTCTGTTCGCGGCTGTCTATTCTGAAATCAAATGGTCCCATTTGGCATAGCTACTGACGCCTGCGAAAGAAGCTATCGTAGTGTTTTATTACCATAAATTGACGGCTAAAATGGTTGACTAGTATTGATCGGGTTGTCCCTACCGCCTGAAGTTTACTAAGTGCGCATTACAAATACCCTGTTAGGTTTGATGACCCGTTCTGATCTCCAATGAGTCCGCAATGGTCGTCTGCTCCAGGGGCGATTTCCATTACCTCACCGTTGGATCCTGCTTACTTCATGACCATGGCTTCTTAACACTATTTTCAATCAAACCAGAGCACTCTTGAACCAACGATAGACTTCACTTCGGTGCGACTTGATACAACAAAGCGCTTTATCCAATGGAAGTTCACGTGGGATTGAAACTTCGACACGATTGGGGTCAATTTAGCTGCGCAGCGCATCTGCTATCTTCATCCTTCCTAGGCTACACCGGTTGCTTTTTGTTTGAAATTTACAGCAGTGTGTAACCATTTTCCGATGGTTACTCCCAAAACCTAGCCCTACTATTATGTTCAGAAAGTAGGCCAATTTTTGAAAAAGCGCACCAACCGACAGAGGTAGCGCGCTGCGGCTGCTGCGCACACGTAAAGGCATGTTTAGATTTCCATTTGGCGCGTTTCGCTCTGATTGTTGGTTAGCTAGCTACAGCCACGGTAGTGAGCCCTTGCATAAACCGCTCGTCGGATTAGTGTCAATGTATCAATGAAAGATCTCGAAGAACATGATGTGTGTGTGGATTTTTGCTACAAACTTGTTACTACATTAATAGAGACATTTTTAGTTGATCAGCCGATCATACGAGAGGGGTATATGAGTCTCACGCAGTGCTGTGAGTAGTTTAAGCGTTTTGAACTGCGGTCGAATGTCCGTCGGTTAGGACCCCAAGCTTGGACGACATTCCATATCAAGAGACAATGACCATACCGAAAGGATTCGTGTGTGACCCGTAGAAATCGTCGCCTAAATGTTCAAAAAGTTACTGACGTAATACCGACCCTTAGTCTAATGGCATTGTGTACCGGCGTGTGGTGATGCCCTTCCCATTCTTTTTCTTTCCTTTCCAACGAAGTGGTTATCAGTTAGAATCCTGCAATCCATTTTTGCGTGACAAACCTGAGATGCATCATGTCAGTGCGGACTTGGTTGTTGCATCATGACAACGCGCCGACTCATGAATGGCTCATTATCCGTAACTATCTAGCAAAACATAAATTCCCACTATGTTCCATCCATCCACAATCATCTAGACCTAGCCTCAGCAGACCTATTCCTGTTTCTTTTCCCTAAAATCACGCTGAAAGGAGGTCGTTACTAAAACGTAGAGGAGATTATGGGCAATGCGACAAAAGACCAGTCCGCTATCTCAGAAAATGCGTTCCAACAAACTTTCCAAAAATGGAAGCACGGTTGAGAAAGGTACACTGCCAGTAGTGGGTACTACTTTGCGGGGGATAGTATTTGAAATATTGTACAGTGTGAAATAAAGACGTTATAGTAAAAGTTCCCTTGCTTTTTGAATACGGTTGTATTTTGCTTTAAATCTCACATCTTTTACTGAATCACGAGTGAAATATGAAACAATTGCATACTTATTGCCTAATACAATTTTTCTGCTTATATTTGACATACCAGACGATAAAACCACGGACTTCCATCTTCACTAAGATGATTGCTAGCTACTCGTCAACCAGGAAACTTTCTGTCCACAGTCTGATCCCTACCTTCCATCCAGCTAGGTTTTAATTCAAACTGATTTTCGCCGATCACTTGTACCAAATCCAGTTACTGATTACTTTCACTTCGACTCTAAACATATTTTCCTGTTGTTTACATGCGTAGCATATACATAAATTTTTATATCTACAACCGAGTTGCTTTACCTCGATGGAAACATCGCCTAGCTAAAAACTACGGTTGAACGTTACGGCGATTTGAGTCCCAATGACCTGATAACTCATTTCTGTTTTCTATCTCCCTGTCGTCACACTGACCAAATTCACCGTTTGGTGAACAGCTTGGGTCGCTCTCAGCCGAATAATTATACACTGGAAGGGAATGCAGGATGCAGAGGGCAGTTAGTTACGAAAGGTGGTAAAGCTCTTCTTGTAAATTAGTCTCCATAGCAACTAAATGCGTTGTACTGTCGCCCAGGTAAGCTAATTACATTTTTACATTTTTATCTGAGCTGGATTTGGGACATTTTGAACCAAGTGCTGGATTCAACGTTATTCAACGGCCCGTGTGAACGGGGTAGTGTTGCAGTAAATTAGCACTTTCTCCGTATAGTCTGGTCACACAGAGTGCAATACTACCGGGTTTACTCGATACTAGGTTATCTGTTACGAGAATCATTTTGTGATTGTTCTATGAATCGTCATCAAACTTCGTGATAACATCCTCCGAGTCATTAGAGGGATCATTCTGCATTTCCTATTTTACTCAGAGAGAAATAGAACAACTAATGACTCACATCGTTGGTTGGGTTGGAGAAAAATCCGTAGCAACTACTTGGCGAAATCTAACTAAGGGTGGCGAACACAGTTGGGCTTTCCAGTGTCTGCAGCCATTTAGTTTGGGGTGAACAGCGCGGTAGGAAGCGCACCTGATGATCCGACTCTTCGAAACTTGCTTGCTTATTAGCCGGTCTCCAAGATGGGAGAGGGTCTTCAGTATCCTTGATACTACAAACGTCAATCTGAGTAGATCTTTTACTTCTTGTCAATTTCTTCCATATATGGTTCGCTGAGATTCTCCATGTGATACTGTTTTACCCTGAGACAAAGTAGCTACTGGTTTAATTTAAACATATATGAGGAGCACAGTTCAATTTTGGCAATCGTCAGCAGTGCGCATTCCATCTGAGCCTTGTAGGGCTCGAACCAGCAACCCGACTGTTGCCAGTCTGTGGTTGAGACCACTGTGCTAAGAGCGACGGCAACGACCGTCGTGACTAAGTTATTATATCTTTTCTTAGCCAATTGAATGCACAGAGCTTTCAAATTCCTCTTTAAGGAACTCATGTTCCTCCATACATCTTTCACAATGGTCCATAACGCTTCCAATTTGCATCCAGCGAACACAAACGCTCCTAAAAATTGCCTTCTGTTCGTTGAGTGACCAATCTCAAATAAGCAGATATTATAGTAGATGAGCACACAGAGTGGGATCATAATGTCTTTTTTTTGGATTTGTCACTCAATGGACTGTTGCACTTAGGGGCGCTCGTGCCCGCTGGGTTCAACTTAAAAGCGTTATGGACCATGTTGAAAGATCTATGGAGAAACATAATTTCCTTAAGGAGGAATCGGGAAAGCGGTATAGATGCAGTTGGTTGAGAAAAGGTATAGTTGTGATACAGCGCCGCTCACTATACACTGACTTACACGTTACTGCCGTGCAGAGGACAGGGTGGTCGCCTCACCAAGCGACGAACTTACCTGTCCTCTACACGATAGTAACCTGCAAGTCAGTACATAGTGAGCGGCGCTACATCCTTTCTAGTAACTTAGTCGCGACCTTGTTTGCCGTCCTCCCGTAGCCCAGTGGTCCCAACCACATATTGGCAGCTGTCGAGTTGCGAGTTCGAGCTCTACAATAGTCAGGTGAATACGCACTGCTGACGATTCCCGTAAGGATGGAACGGCTATACAGTGCCTTTCCAGACGTGTGATGGCTATCTGAGTGAGTCTGGATGTGACAAAGTTCTACCTATACCATTCAACCCCCCCTACACTTCTTATACCATCCAATTTGCCGGTTAAAGCCACTAGTAACGACTTATAATGTTTGTCTACATTTTGATTTTGATTTTGCATCTAAGTGTATAAGCCTGAAGATGAATTATCGAAAACATATGTTCGCTTACTCTGGCTTCAGATCATACTATGGAATTTTTTAAAACTGATCTGTAATTGGTTGAAAAAACCAGTAGACGGCCACTGTAGCACTAACCTGCAGGTTGGGAGCATTCATGCACTACTGACCATCATCGAGTTCCACACTACGCATCTAGCATGGACATCTGCCTGAAAATCTCAACCTATTATTACTTTGTGTAATGATCATCCCTAACCACACGCAGCTGCCTCGTGGCACCAAATTTAGGGAGACAACTTTGTGTGTTATACCAACTGGAAATTTCTTATCCGCAACACTTAGGGAAGTGTGACACTGTGCACTCCCAAACTACTACACACACCGATGCCCCGATTGTACCTGCTTGTCTTCGCACATGAACTGTCCTAGGATGTCCTACTTGCCACTCTAAACCCCCTCACACGGCGCTCTGTACAGAATCGAACCAACAATGACCCCAAAACAACTGCGTTTTATTCATCCTCATCGCTAGTCTTTCGTTTGCCCGTCAGATACGATTAGAAGTGTATTTATCTCAGAAGTAACCAGAGCAAGGCAACTCGCGTTTAAGATTGTATCACTTACTGTGCGTCCCCCACTAATTGCTGTTGGGTGTGCCAATTTGGCCCTACTTCCTTCTGGTGATTCAGACGAGTACGAGCGCAGGGAGGCTATTGGTCCTCGAACGAAGTACCGGCGGGCGCTTTGGATCTGCTGCTCAGCTTCGTTGTGCTTTGATCTGCAGTGATTCCCTAGTTCACCTTGTTTTACGTGTAGTGTGACAAATGTCTTGATATCAGACTGATTGTATTCGAATGCGATACTACGCAAAATCTCTTGAACCTCCTCTTTTTCCTCTTCCGCAAAGTAGCACGCAAAGATGGCGACAACTGGAGGCTCCAGCCCGAACATATCTGAGACTTTTCATCCGGCTGCGCTGCAACTGAAAATTCAAGTGAGTACCTTGTCCTATTGACCACATGTTTTAAGATGTATCAAATGTGTTCTTCGTATGTGACCCACATAGTTTAGTTTTACTCTCAATCTGCGTGAATGTCGACGTAGCTAGGCACTCTCTTGTGACCACTTCGGTGCACTTGCCCAGCAAACTCGCGCACATCACTGTTTCACCGTCGGGTTCAGGTTCAATCAATATACCTGAGAACTGAATTGTAGTCTATTCATTGCAACCGTAATATGAGTGAAATATCACGGCGCATCTCTACGACTTCATACTCTCTGCCGATGGTAACCAGACTAATCCACAGTTTATTCCACACTTTCTAGCAAATTAATTATGTGTAAATCTATCGCGGTGAAGTGCGAACCATACGACCATTTTGAGGTAGCCATGCATTGTTGGTCAACACGTACATTTCGCATCAGGACTATTATCTGCTCTGACACACCCCTTTCAGAGGGCTCTGTGGAATTCTGCTGAATTCATTATGTGCTGTATGGCCGACCATTTTGGTCTAAGTGCTAACGGAATCGGTCTACAAGGGCCGAACCGAACAGCCGCTTAACTCCTGCGTGCTTGATTCTATGCGGAGATCACGTGTATCAATTTCTACTCAGTTGTAACCTGGATAGTGACCTCCGGCACATTCTTCTACTCTGGCTGCTCGTTGCCAAATGTGCACATGAAATATAAGTCCCTGTGAACCTCCTTTTGATGTATGGTCTAAAACGGCGTCAAGCCGAATCACTGGTGTAACACGAACTCGACTCTTATTGGTTGTGTGTGTACAAAGCTTTTTATCTCCTCGAGACATGATATTGGTTTAACATCTATCGACGGACTACAGCACAACAGTAGAACCATTAAACACGAATTCGACTGGTGCATTCTGTTGACATCTACGGAAATTTTACGTTGCTGCGTACTAACCTGAGACTGTGCCATTCCGCATGACAACTGCCCCACCATACTTTATACACTGATTCTACCATGTCAAGAACGTGCTGCACTGTCAAACCATAAGCTAAGCGAGAGAAATTTAAATGCCTCATCGGACGCAGACATTTGACACGATATTATGGTGGCTTTCATGGTACTGAGATCGCAATGTTTCCGATCAGCAGAAAATTTACGGTGTGCCTCTTAATCGATGCTGTCGACCACTGATCCGTCCACAACTTTTCAAGAATCTACTCACTATGCTTCATTCTTCAAACGCTATATCAAAAGCGAGACAGGTAACAGAGTTTATTTCGTAGTGACGCGAGACATGCTTTCTACCGGAAGGCTGACCATAACAACAAGTCGACGCAATGACGGCGCTTTAGGCAAAATAGGGCTGTGTTCACGATTCATGGGGTTGAGAGTCATCAGAACAAAGAGTTCATAACACTGGACAGTGCGTTGATCAAGCGTCAAGTCACGCGACACAGCTACGACAGCTGACAATATAGGGTAAGGTAACAGAGCGTGTCAGATAAGCAAGTTTCCTTCTCACTGCCGAGACCTAGTACTTGGGTCCGCCGGCGCCAGATACGAGCACAGGGGATTTGTGCCTCGGTTACAGAAACCAGCATTCGTAGAATCTGCTCGGAAAACTGTTGCACTAGGAATTGCTGTTCGTTCAGAATATACTGCATAAAAACAGGTACTCTGCCATTATCCTTTCCAAAACCCACGAAAATATAACCTAGGACCACCTTTAAAAACGTAGAAGAAAAATGCTATTCACAGTAGTGTCTTTCAAATGGATTGCAGCTACCGAGCTTTTAACTAGAAGTCTACCAGCTGTAGCAGCTGATCTAATCTACACACTACCAACAGAACCACTCCTTCATAGACCGAAAGTTGACACATTGCCGAAGACCGATTATATGCTTACCTATATACTCAAATCCACGTGTGGTAAAGATCATATCGGTCGAACGGCATGTCGTATGCATAAGCGGGTAAACGAGCACTGCCCACACTGGTTATGTCAAGATGGTGCCATGCCTATCACGGCCTCGGTTTTGATCGGTGTTTTCAGAAATAAACACCGACTAAACCTAAATCATACTTCCGAATAATGTACAAGGTTCCCTCCTCCTTCGAGCAGAAGACCCACACTTCAGTACGTCTGTAACATCAGAGGTAATCTGCATTCGTATGTTTCAACCGCTATGTTAGCCAATGAAAAAGATGAATTGGTGATACCATCTGCATTAGCTTTGCAAGCAGTAATGCCGGAACCGACCACTTAAAGTGCAGCTGCTTGTTGTTACATGAACCCGACCAACCGTTTTATATGTCATTTGACTCAATCTGGTAAATTTACACCATGTTCTTTCTTCATAATATGATTGTAAAGGTCTGATGATAACTCATCAAAGCAGATGTTCACCGTTTGCATTATACCACGCTTAACTAAACGGAAATGTTTAAGTTGCTTATTGTATTATTATTATTATCAGTAGTAGTAGTAGTGGTAGTAGTGGTATTATACGCCTTAGCTTCAGGTGGAAAACAACTTAGCTATTGTGTTGCAATACAAAAGACAAGAAGAGAAGAAGAAGAAGAAGAAGAAGAAGAAGAAGAAGAAAAGAAGAGAGAAGAGAACGCACGCCGTCTGAGTCCCCAGTACGGATAAACTTTGTTCCGGAGAGCTAACGGCCGACTATCGTGCCGCAAAAGAGAGTTATATTATGCCTAACGAATGAGATCGTGATTGGAGGGCGAGGCTAAGCAGGAGGCGGATGGACAAACGAACTCACACCACAAAAGCCATTGGGACAGGCTCTCCGTCATATCAGCAAGTGTGTCCAACCAAACGTGTGCATCCTCATTAAGAACCCAGCCAGGCAGTCGGGATGCACCAACCGACTCAAAGTTCGAACTGAGGGCCTTCATTTCTCTCCACAAAGTCATCCATTGGCCTCCCCTCCTCATTTTCCAACCACACACCCGGGGCGCAAACCATGCACGTCGCGGGAGTCGGTGTGCTGACATGCGCAACACGTGGCCCAGCCATCGGAGCCTGGCGCGTGAAATGATGGTGCTGAGCGGTTCACTCGCTCTTCCTGCACCAAATACGCGACGTAGAACATGCTCATTGCTCACGCGGTGCTCCGAACAGACATGATCTAAGCTACGAAGGCAGCGATGATCGAATGTGACCAGCCTCTTTATGTCTGTCGACCTGATGGGCCAGGTTTCACAACCATATATGAGAGTTGAATGGGTGAGAGTAATGTCGCATCTGCGACACAGGTGGCGGAGATTGGCAAAAGCAACTCGAACTTTTGCTATACTGTTCGTAACCTCATCTCCGATCCCATAGGCGTTAATATAGTTGCCCAGGTACTTGAATTCCTGAGCGACTTCTAGCTGATCATCACGAAGCGTTAGCGCAAGAGTGGCTGTCTGCCAATCTTGGAGAATTACTTTGCATTTCGATGGAGCAAAGCATATCCCAAAACGATAGACAGCCAGTGCTAATCAGTCCAGTGCATCTTGGCATGTTTGGGAGCTGTCACAGGTTAGGACAATATCGTCCGCATACTCCAAGTCAAGAAGTCGCTAGCCACGAAGTAGCTCCACATCTTCTAGGTCGTGTCTAGCGTATGCCGTTCCATGACTTCGTCAACTGCGAACTTAAATAGGGAAAGTGACAGCAGGCAACCTTACCTCACACCGCTGGTAATACTGAAGGGTGGCGACAGATTCCATAAACCCTAACTCTGCCCGAACTATGCGCGTACAGCGCTTTGATATTGTTTACGTATTTATCAGGCACACCTTTCCTCAGCAGACAGTCCCAAAGGGCACAACGATCGACTGAGTCGAAGGCACCTTTTATGTCAAGAAACACGACAACAGTGGGTCGCCAATAAAAATGGCGGTACTCCAACAATTGACTCAAAGTGAAGATGTGGTCGATGCAACCCCGACCTCGACGAAACCCGGCTTGCTCTTAACGGATCTGGCTTACACGAGTGCCAATCAGTCTGTGGAGAATGACAGACGCAAGCAATTTAGAGGCAATTGAGATCAGACTGATCTCTCTATGATTGCCGCATTCCAAACAGGAGCCTCCCATGAACATTGGGACAATGGCGGAGCTGCTCCAGTCTATCGGGACAGTCTCCTGCTCCCAAAGTTTTACTAGCAACTCGTGTAAATCATCGAATTTGAAGAGGGTTAGGGGAATTCTATCTGCCCCTGCGGCCTTATGCAACTCCAACAGTCTGATCTCGCTTTCGACTTCTGCGCGTGAGGGCGCATCTAAGGAGACGGCCCATGGAGAATGGCACTTAATTCCCGAAAGAGAAAGTGATAATTCAGATTGGTTAAACTGCCTTGCAAAGTGTTCGGCCCAACGCTCCAAGTGTTTTAACAGGTGGTGGATCGGCTGTCTACTCGCGTCGCCTATTGTTTTGATAACACAAGATCTCCTGCTGCCTATTTTCCGTAGCAGACGGAATTTCTTACGATGATTATCAAAGGTAGCGGCTGTTTCCATTTCCGAGGCACGATGGGACCACCAAGCTTCGCTGTCTCTCTTCAGGTTAGCACGCAGCTTTGCCCTGAGATTTTTGTGAGTCGCATTGTATTCGCTTCCAGTCGGAACACGTCAGCGAAAATCCATAAGTTCCGGAGATTTTGTAGAGACCCAATGTCTAGGTCGTCTATTTGATTTGCCACATGAAGATATGCCTGCTGCTAGTAACGTTTAACGAATATGCGACCAGTGATCTTTGACAGTGTTCAGTGGACGCTTACTCAACCCAGTTGCCAGCGTAGTTTGATATGCATTCAGAACACCTGGCTTCGCCAGGTGGCTAGTGTCAATGCAATAAGGGAGACGTTGCGGACGTTCGCCGAAACGCACCCGGAGGTCGGCACACACAAGAGCGTGCTCGGAGTCAACGTTGGTGGTCCAAATGATCTGCGAACCGGACAAGTATATAACAGAAGAAGCCAGCCTCTATTAACAATGTTTTTACTCATCTGCA